AACTGCCTTGAAGCTAATAATAATAATAATAATAATAACAACAACCTTTAAAATGGAGAATTAAATGATTAGAAGATAATTGCCTCAGACACAGAGAACTCCAGATGCTCAGCAGAATCTAGAATATATTTCTCTCTCTCGGCTTCACACTTGGCCAAATTCTCATACAGGCACCCACATAGCTATAGGGTGAGTCTACCAGTTCAGCATCCCCAACAGGAGGAGTTCCAGCCCAAGTCCTATGACTGACCCTGTGGCTCTCATGTTAAATGTTCATCCCTGAACCAATCACGGTGATTCTGGATTTGTCTCAGCTATACACCAGCCCACCTGAAACCACCTACACCAGCTGAACTAAGAATGGAGGACGAGTGGTTCATTAGACAAAAACAGAGGTACTCTACCAAAAAGGGGAAATGTATGCAAGACAGACAAAAACAAGAAAAGTCCACTATTCCTGGTAATATAACAAATGCTAACAACATTTTTTTTATTTCTATTCAATGTAGTATATATATTTTTTGTTAAAAATAATGTCAATAATAATGTATAGCGAAAGAGGGAAACTCGAGATGCATTTCATTAACCACACAGTATCTGCCAAACACTGACTAGCAATATACAAAACACTTATTTAAAATTAATATAACTTGATTACAGACTGGCTATAGAATATTTGTTGCTTAACATCATTATATGTCTAAATTAATACTTTGGAGGAAAACCATGGACTCTGTAAGATATTGAAACCTCCAGTATTTATATATGCATTCCTAATTTAATTTTCAATACCTGACAACAAGAATAACACATAATTCAAGTCAATATGAAAAGATTTACATATCAACCTAAACTAAAACGTAGAAAATTCTCTTTTAATATAAATAAACGTGGTTTCATTAATAGTAAGTACTTCCATGATTCAAAAATGCAAATACATATTTTTTAAATAAATTTAGTTCAAAAGTAGAATACATCTTTTGTTTATAAAATTATAAAAATCTTTAAAATATAAATTATTCTATCAAGCTGCAAATGAAAAAACTCTAAGGAAGAAAACTTACTATCACATTTAAGTACAAAAGAATAAGTTTAAAATTTCCTTTTAACAGTAATAATACCATGATCTGTATGTCAAGAGAGGAACTTAGCCCACAAAATCCCCTCCAAGTATTTTGTTATGCTTTTAATACGATATACAGGATGCCATTTAGATTGTAAAAAAGTAAAATTATCAGAGGAAATATTTTCTACAACTAAAGATATACTAATATATTGCACAGTGATTTGTGAAAAGAAAAACTTAAAATTAAATGCTATAGAATTATACTAAGACAGCTATTAAAAAAAAACCCTGTGAATTCTTTGATTAAGTAAATATTAATCCTTTATCTTTTCTAAAAATTTGTTTATATTAAAACCTGTGACAAATAAGAAATTTCATGTTACAAAGAAAGAACACATGATATATAAATAGAATTTACTTCAAGGAAGGAAAAACCTTACATAAATATACGTTAAGTGTGTTTACAAAGGAAGCATTGGATTAAGTAGCATGCCTGTTTTATAACTGAAACGACCAACAAAATTCTTGTTCTATAGTGAAATGTTCTTATGCTGCCATATTAAATAATTCCTCCCAAAGCCAGAGTTTGTTGATGATCAGCTTCTGCTCATTGGTAAAGCTACAATGCAAAATTCGTGATGATACACTCTCATTATAACCTATGTACAAACTAACTTACTCATCTTCCTGATCCTATCTATTTCATATTTGAATGCTTTTAAATCAACTATAATATCATTGTACAAATACATTCATCTGTATAGAAATTACTCATTTTATTTCTCATTCCATCGGTGATTCTTCAGCAAACTCCCACAATCCACCTAATAGTGAAATCAATCTCTACTTTTGGCAAAAAAGAAAAAAAAAGGCACAAAAATTACAAACACGGGTGTGTTAAAGAAGTTCTATATTTTAATGTATACTTATGCTTTACTCTGCAGAACTTTTAATTCTTCGGGCAAGGCATGTGAGAAAAATAAAACCAAGTATTAGTATTCTCATATTATATAAAGAAAAAGAATGTACAGGAAAAAAAAGAAAGGAAAATATTTTGACAAAGGTGACTGAGACAGGGTTTTGCTAAGATAGAAACTGTTTTGTTTTCAAGTTTCATTAGTTTCTCTCCTTTCTTTTCTGTCATAGAAAATTAAGATCGAAACCTGAAAAAAAACTCATTTTAGAGATAATAGTAGAAGTTTCCAACCTTTAGCAAGTCACTGAGTGCCCTAAATGGATTTTACTGACTTACTCATCAAGTAAATAGGATCAAGTTTTGATAATTATTTTTTAAATGCCAGTGATTGCCAGATATTTTCAGAATCAGCTTAAATTTTCACAGGACATTTTCATCATGAGCATACTGGAAAGATAAAGCACTAAACCCAAAATTCAAGAAATATTACACTGCAAATGACTAACGTGTATTCCACAATCAATACAATTAACAATTTAATAGTAAACAGCTCCTTTTGTCATTTACTCTTTCCCCCAAGTTTCCATGTAAAGATCAACTGCGTGCTTTACTACCTACAAAGAAATTTTAAACCTAACTTTTTTAATTCCAAAATCAATGCAGTTACAAAGTCTTAAGTGGATCTGGAGATATACCATATCAGTATTACTTTATTTCTAATTACTCTAATTAAACTTAGCAGTAAAGTTAACCTTCAAAACAGCATTTGCATACTGAGACTTCATGACAGATTTTCACTGCACTGAAGAGAGTTAAATTTCTTTTTTACCTCAAAAGAAATATTTCATTTCCTTTCTTAACCTACTGTGTATCTATAGAACTCCATCTGTTAAGAACTGATCCAGCATACATTGCTTCTGCTGCAGAGTCCAAACTGGTTACACATTCAAATCAGTTTCCAGCTTGTGAGAGCCTCTACTGCCTCTTATCACGTTAAGATGTATTAAGTAAGCATAAAAATACTTCTTAAAATAATCGTATAGCACATCATCTAAAGTAAAAATGGTATTAGAAATCTGGAAAACTGTAAAACACTTAAAATGTTTTCTTTTAAATCTACGGATACAGCACCTGCTGACCTACTAACATATTTTGAGATTTCATCTCTTTTCTTCTAAAAAGGAAAAAAAAGAGGCAAGTACTGACCTATTTGTAGCTGGTTAAAATTAAAACGTCAAAACAACATTTCTATTAGTGTTCTGAAAAGAATTTTGTTATACAAAGGCAGTGATACTCCCCCAAACTTACACTTTCTGTGGTGATTTGTTTGAAGGGTACACAGAATTAGAAAGAGGTGTTTTGTATTTAAACAGTAATAAATATAACAAAGACAGATATGCTCCTATCTTTTCACGTGATATCCTAGCCAAAAAACCACCCCCCAAAAAAACAAAAAACAACAGCTTTAACTTTTCCGTGAATTAAAGAGGTACATAAACCATAGACATTATTTAATCCATATCTCGGGGCACTACTGCTGTAGCTGCAGCTTTCTTTCAGGTTTCCAATAGATCAAACAAAAATAACTGCTTAGGCAAAAAATCTGACTGCATGGGTGTTATAAAATCTCCTTGCAAACACATTTTTATATTCCTGTGATTCCACACCAAATACAATAGTCAACTGATTGCTCCTGATTTAAGCCTTGCCTTCCAAAACCCAACCTTACAGTGGGTCAAAGACTAGATATTGCAGAAGAAACTGTTTAAAAAGCTTTGCTGCAGCAAAAACTGCATCTACAAAGCATTAAAAAATGAACTAGTCTTAAATGAACTAGTCTTATTATCCTAAATTTATGATTCTCTTCTCCTTATTTCCTCCCCGTGTCTTCCCCTGACATCTTGAACGTTTCTTAGCCTCTCCGTAGATAGATAACGCAAAACATTAAGTCATACACAGTTCTGCAGTAACTCTTTCTTATCACGAAAGAAATCAAAACCTAGGGCTGAATCTAACACCTTTCCTCTAGTCTTTATCCACATGCCATGCTCTCTGAAGGCAACCACAGAAACCAACCTGTATGATTTGGTGCCCTCACATTTTAACATCTTCTGTGCACAGAAACAAACAAAAAAGACTAAGAGGTCAGCGTATTCAGGGCAGTATTACAAAGAAAGGAAGGGTACCTCAAAAGAGATTGCGGGCGGGCGGGCGGGCGGGGGTGAATAACAACCACAACACTGACACAGCCTCGGAATATATTTAAAGGCAGATACAAAACTGCATCATTTTCCTCCTCACTGGAAAACATCACACCCAGCTGCTCAAGTTGGAGCTAATGCGCCTCTCGCATTTCAGCAGCACGGGGGAATTTAGGCTCCAGGGGAAAGGCTTCATCCTCGGAGAGCGACACCACGGACAATTAAGAGTGTGGGAGAAAGAACCCCAGAGAAAAGGAGGCCTTCCGCTCCCCCTAACTAAACTCTCGAGTCGACCCAAAACCTGCACGACAAGGGATGACTGACTCCTCATAGTCATGAGAAGTGATAATTGCTGTGTTAAGTTGGGGACCGCGCTCAGGTGGCAGGAGAGGACCAAAGGAGAGCGGGAAGGTGGCGTGGCTTCGGCAGCGCGCAGGCAGGTCACCCGCTGGGCAGTACCCGCCGGACGATCTGTGCTCGCAGGGACGCGCTGCGCGTGTGACCGGGGGGTGGAGGGGTGGGGAGCCAGCGCCTGGGGAGGGAGGCCATGGGGGCTGGGAGGCGGATGGCGAGCACGCCTTTTCCCTTACCAGGTTGAGCACCGTCTCCACGATGTCCCTGTTGCTGACCTCTCCGACCTGTATGAGTCCAATCAACACTGCGAATTTCATC